GCACTGCATCTGACCACGGAGGTCACTTCACAGCAGAGAAGTGCAGCAGTGGGCTTCTGCCCCTGAAATTAGCTGGCCTTACCACATACCCCATTCCTGATACCAATTTTAAAATATTCCCCGCCCGGCCCATCTCATTCCTGGTTGGGGTAGTGTGTTCCACATCTCACACTTTCATTAACAGCTTCATTTCTTCCTAGGTTCCCTGCAGCTTCAGGGGCTGAGGAGAGACAGGAGGAACTGTGAGTCTCCTGCACACAGCCCAGCCCAGAGCCAGGAAACCTTGGTTTCCAAGGAAGAAGCCACTTGGAATAACAGCATGTCTCCTGTACAAAACCAAAACCAAACCCGTTGCCATGAAGTCAATTCCGACTTATAGCGAGCCTATAGGAACCATGTCTCATGAAACCCATTGCCGTCGAGTTGATCCCGACCCATAGTAACCTTATAGGACAGAGTAGAACTGCCCCATAGGGTTCTCAAGAAGTGGATTCAAACTGCCAACCTTTCGGTTAGCAGCTGTAGCTCTTAACCACTGTGCCACCAGGGCTCCAAGTCTCATGAAAGGACCCCCAAAAGGGAAGTCAAGCCCACAGATCCCAGCATGTTTCACTTCTGGGGCCAGGTGGGGAGCTGGTGGGGACAGGAACTGTCACTCTCTCACTGTATGTCTCTGGGCAAGCCACATCCCTTCTCTCATCCTGTGTCCCCAAAAATGTCAAATGGGAACTTGGACTCAATGATTTTGGAATGTCTCATGAAAGGACCTCCAAAATCACTGAGTCCAAGTTCCCACTTGACAGCTGGGGACACAGGATGAGAGAAGGGACGTGGCTTGCCCAGAGACATACAGTGAGAGAATGACAGTTCCTGTCCCCACCAGCTCCCCACCTGGCCCCAGAAGTGAAGCATGCTGGGATCTGTGGGCTTAGCTTCCCTGGAGGGGGCCCACAGAACTGAGTGTCCTGTCTGTTCATTCCTGGGAGCTGGTGGCCTGAGGTTCAGCAGTGCCCTGGTCTCCTCTACCAGCTCTTCCATCCCTTCTGGGGTCCTCAGCCCCCCCTCTTCAGATGCTCTCCTCCAAGGAGAGCCTCGTGGGCTCACTCATCTTCCTGCAGTAAATCTCGAGTCCTTTGCTGCCTCCCTTCCTGGGCTCACACTCTCTCCAGCAGCAGCTCCACTCTTCACTGCTCCTCCACCTACACTCCCCACTACTCCCCCCTCGCACCTGGTTCCACCAGCATAAGGGCCTTGGCTGGGCTGGGCTACATCATCCCACAGGAACATTCTCAAGCTCTTGTCTCTTCCAGGATAACCAAGTGTTGCCCAGTGGTAGGACAGACCACAGTGTAACTCTGTGGATACCTGCCAAGTCTTCATGGGAGCTCCAAATCCCATTGAAAGGCTAGGATATGGATATTTGTAGGGAAGGGGGCCTGTGTTCTAGGTGAGGGACAAGTGTAAGCAAAGATCTGTGCTTGATTGGTGTGTGTATGCTGAGGTGGGGGCAGTGAGGATCCCCTGCCTGGGGTTGCAGAGAGGGCAAGTAGTGGGAACAGGGATAGGCAGACTGTGGAGCCAAGGACTGGCTGATTACAGGGTATGTCCTTGCAACCCTGTCACTGGGGCTGACAGATGGGCTGGACACTCACAGCATCTGTGAAGATTCTCCCTGGGCACCAAGGTGCATTTTGCAATTTATGAAAAATGATTCCATACTTACAAAGGAAGGATATAAGGAGTACTCATGTAGCTTAAAAAGCAAGGTTTCAAACCAGTTCTTCCCAGTTCAGTCATGGCCAAGGACACAAAATCAGAATAGACACAAATTTCTTAAATTTGGGTGAACCGTAATAACCAGAATGGGAAAAATTATGGGTCGAAGCCCTGCTAGAAACCTAAACTCCCTCTTAGAAAATGAGGGCAGTGTATGCACTGCATAGCAACCAAATCTCTTGCCCGTCGGGTTTTGAGCAGAGTTGCCGTGTTCCAAGATGGCGGCTGACCTGGCTGCTTTGAATGTGTTGCTCTCCACAGTCCTGCCAATAGTCCAAACTCATCCATCAGGCTCTTGAAAGGGCTCACTACGCCTGAGTCTTCCATTCTAGGGCCTCAACCCGTAATTTTTTCCGTTCTGGATTGCCCAAAATGTAAAAATTTGGGTCTGTTCCATTTTTTTCTTCGTTGGCCATGAGTGAACTGGTTTGAATCAGTTTGAAGCCCTGTTAAAAAGCAGAACATCCCCCAATGCCATTGGAGCCCTTGGGATGCCCCTCTCCAGTTACATCCTGTTCAGCTAAACTGAACCTTGTCTTTCTCATTCTCTTGACTTCCTTTAGAGTTTTGTTACACACGCATGTATCCCTAAAGAATATATTCAGCCCTGCGTATTTTTGAACTTAAACAGTATTATTTGGAGACTTGTTTTTTGTGCTCAACATTCTGTGAAAATCACCCATGTTGATACACATAACCAATTTATTGACTTTTTTCTCTTGTACAGTATTCTACCCATGAAGATACACAATTTAACTCCTGAGTCGTCTTTAGCCTTTTGCTATTCAAACAGTGCTGCTCTGCACATGCCCAGGGCAGGGTTCTCAGGAAGGAAGGCACATTAGAATCAACTGGGGTGCAAACTTTTAAAAAGTAACAGCAATCAGGCCCCACCTCCAGAGATGATGATTCCTTGATTTGGAGTAGGGATTGGGCATTGGTATTTTTTATATCTTTAGATGAGTCTAATGCGCAGTCTCTGTTGAGAAGCACTGTTCTAGAGTATATACCCAGGAGGGGACTGCCTAAGAATGTGCATTTTCAGCTTCATTTGATGTAAAAGTTTTTCAACATGGTTGTACTGTACCAGTATGACCAGACTGTACACCCATTAGCAGTGGATAGATTCCATTGCTCCACATCCCACCAACACACAGCATTGTCAGACTTCTTAATTTTTGCCAAATGATCTTTCATTATGGTTTTAACTTATATTTCCTTGATTAGTAATTATTCATATTTTAAAATTCGTATTCCAGAATTCATATTTATTGACCATTCTTGTCCTTTTGTCAAATGCCTGTTTGTATCTCTTGTCCATATTTATATATTTATATACCCTGCATATGAATCATCTGGCTGCAATATCTTCTCCCAGTTTGTGGGAGAAGCGTGCAATAAAGCGTGCACTTTATTATGATGCTTTAACAGATTTTTATTTTATTGTGGATGAATTTCTCAATCTTTTCCTTTACATTTTGCTTTTATTTCTTAACTCTCTCCTGGCCTTGAGGTAATCATGATACTCTTGTATGTTTCCTTCTAAAAATGTTTCAAGTTTTACTTTTCATATTTAGGTCTTTAATCCACACGGAATTGATTTGTGTGTGTGTGTGATGTGAAGTAGGGGTCCAATTTCATTTATTTTCCTTATTGCTAACCAGTTTTCCTGGCATGATTTATTTAGTTTATTATACCACCCTCCGCTGCCAACTGCACTGCTTCCTGACATACCCCAGGTATACAAGTTTGGATGGGTTCCTCGCCTCTCTATTTCCATGCCTTATGTATCTATCTTTGGGTTGACATCAGGCTGTCTTATTCCCTCCATCTTACTCATCTTCTGGAGTGTTCTGGCAATTTCAGGTGGTGGTTAGAGGAGAGTTCACTGTAAAATTCTTTCAACTCTTCTGTATGTTTCAAATTTTTAATAATAAAAATATCCGGGAAAAGAGAGTCTTGGCTCATGTGGCCTTTGCGTGTATCCTGGTGCAATTTTTACAGGTTCAGGTTTCAGCCCCAGCCAGCTCCCAGCAGCCCCAGCCCTTCCTTGGAGAAAAGGATGAGTTTTAGGAGAGTACATGGATCTTTCACATTCCAGTAAATATTAAAGATGATTTTTGAGGGGTGAGGTAGTGCTGGTCTTATATCCAGGGGTGGATTATCCAACAGGCAAGATAAGCACGGTGCTTACCTTGCTAACCAGATCATGTATAGCGAACAACTTCACATGCGTTTCACCACATCAAAGTTTCACTACAGATTAGTCTAAAGTAAACACAAGCAAGCCCGTGCTTACCTTGTCTATTACATAATTCGCCCCTGCTTATATCATACCAATTTCACGGCCGAGGAAAGTGACTTGCCTGAGGACCCAGCCTCTGTGATCTACTGAGGTGCTGCGTCTGTCCTGCTTCGTCCAGCCTCCGGTCCCCAGTCCCACTGCCTGTTCCTCCCGGACTGTGCCTCAGTTTCCCCGTCTGCCTCCCACGCCCATCTCTGGATCTCTGCCTCCTGGAGTTTGGGGGCTGGAAGTCCCCTTAGAGAACCAGGGCATCCACATCCTGGTCCGGCTGGAATGGAGGCCCGGGGAAGAGGGTGGCACGACTTGACCCAGGCCACAGGTGGGTCCATCAGACCGCAGCAGAACAAGGGCCAGCCCCCAAGTCCCTCCACGTCCCTCCAGACCGCGTTCCTACCCTTCTCAGGCACAGGTCGTGCCTCTGCCTCCCTCCGTCATCGGTTGCAACTACCTGCTCGTCTCACAACCTGCAGACTGCGAGCACTTCCTTTCTCTCACTTTCCGCATCCGCCAGCGGCCCCGGCTCCGCCCTCTTCTTGCCCTCCCGGCCCCAGGGCCGGGGTTCTCTGTGGTCGCCAGGGGGCGCGCGCGCCCCCTCCAGGGCGCAGAAGCCAGCAAGCACCGCCCTACCCCTCCCGGCGTCCAGCCGGGTCCAGCCGCGGCTTCGCTCTCTCCGTTCCCCGCTCCCTGGACTCCGGGCCC